CCCAGCTGTGAGCTTTGCAGCAGCAGAGCTAGGAGGAGCTGCCAGCCTCGATGAGTGGCGGCGGTGCCAGGCTCCCCTGCCAGCACACACCGAGGAAGCTCTGCTGACACGTTCTCATTTCCCACCGCGCAGCCCAGACGCTTGTGAAAAGTCACTTTGCGAGGCAAAGCTGCTCACAAAGGGGTCTGGCACGTGGCAGGACAGCTTGGCACAGGGGGCTGCGGAATCGGTTTTGCCAGATTTGGAGCACTGAGGATCTCAGAAAGGCAATCACTGCTGGTAAGCCCCATTCTAAAGCGGAAAAATGCTTAAAATTTTACTCAGTGAGTTGGATTTCTAAGCAGAAATACTCTTCTAAAGCAGGGAAGAGGACACCAGTGAGGAAACCAAACACCATCCAGAAAAATTCCCAGGGAATACTTCCACTGGTTTTGTGTACTTAACCACAAGCCATGTCCAGCTAAGATGCGAGCAATTTGCTATCTAACACTGGGTACGGCTCATATCAAGGGGATAATATGCTGCAATTGTAGGAAGACAGACTTGATCCAATAGGTCTATTATCTCCCCCCGTTACTATGATCCTGTCCTAATTAGGATCTCACACAGACCAGATACACCAGAAGTCAATGACAACTTCATTTATCCAAGGGCTTCGGTCTAGGAAAGCTGTCTGGTGTTTTTAAGTCACCATCAAGCAGGTATTGATTCAGTGAAGTCAGGAAATGATGCTTCATTTATGTGCTCTAGCCTGGAATTCGGGGTGCTCATTCCTGCTCAATGGACGGCCCCAGAGCTGGGTGCTGGGGTACCCACCTTCCCTTTGCCTCTGCCCACCAGAATTTCAGGGTTACAATTCGCGGTAAATCAACAGATATTTGGATCAATGAGGGATGCAGGGCAGTGATTTGCATCCGCGCTCTCAAACCTCTGCTGGAAGAAGGGCCTGGAAAGCACACAATTCACAGTATCAGGCTTGCATGGAAAGACAGAGAATCCTTCTAATTGCAGGGCGGAATGCAGATTACAGACTTGGAGATGATGAGCAGTGCTAAACCCGGTGCCTAAAAATAAATAAACACACAATATGAAACCCCAAGTGAATGAGATTTCCGTATTATCATCACACCGTGTAAATGATAGCATCCCTCCGGATTAGCCGATGGAGAGCGGGCTGGGGCACCGCAAAGATAAGGCATTCTTAATCTGCACACATAATCAGCTGAAGGGAAAATATAAAATGCTAATAACAAATTGTAATTCAACCTAAAAAGGGTGCAACAAACATCAGAATGCTTTTCCCCTTCTTGTCTCTGGAAAAAAAGATCAAGCAGGTCCCCTCCCACCATCACTCTCCCAGCTTCCCCTCTCTTCCCCTTAACTTCCCCTCCAAAACACTTTGCCATAACACTCGGTGGGGAGCAATCTTCACATAAATAGCTCAGCCTCCATTCCACCCCGCCCCGGACATCCAACTCTACGTTTTAAATGGCTTGCTTTACTTGTGACTAAATATAGAGTGGATCTCGGCATCCCTCGCCAGGTGGAACACTATAAAAGGTAAGTGGCACAATACATCATCTTAAAAGGTGGCTTATCTGGAGAGGAGGTGTAGGAAATATTGTGCGAGGGGCTGTCTGCATCTGAGGCGCAATTGGATTCCATTTTTCCTTTTGAAATAGGGAATGGCAAGGATGTTGGCAATGCCTGAAAAATAACATTACAGCAGGAGGGACACACCAGGGATGGCCCAGCACAGCCCGCGTCCTGGGCCAGGCCAGGGAGCTCCTTTTTTTTCCCCATTCAGGACTGCTCTTTCCTACCACGCACAGCAGCCCTTCCATGCCACCAGTAATGGTCAGAAACATCCATTATTTAAACCTAACAAACATTTCTGAGCAGAATTAAGGGAGACCATAAATATTTCACTCAATTTCTGCACAACTCTCTTCATCTAAAAAACAAACGTAAGAGAAAGCAAGCGAAGTCCCCTTCTCTGATCCCAGCCACAGTCCCAAGCAGCCCCATCACCAAGCCCAAGAGACCAGCGGTCCGTGAAGAACGTGTTGCTGTTCATCAGTGGGTTCCAGAACCAACACCCCGACCTGTGCAGGGGACAAATCGCAGCTGCCGAGGTTCCCTGCAGCCCAAGCAAGGCTCCTGTCACATTTAAGGTTCTTCCTTCCATGTCCGCAGAAAATCAAGGCTCCATGGCCATAAAGAAAATCCAGCATCAACACAGAGATTTGGGGTTAAGCCACGGACTGCAGCAAACTGCGCAAGCCCCACTGACAGCAGATTTATCTCCTCCCCACGCCTTGGCTCAGACACTGCACACAGGGCAGATTTCCTATTGCACACACGCACACACGCGTCCAGATCCTGTGTGTTGGGCAGGAAGATTATTGAACAAAAGTAAGTGATAAAAGCACGGGCCAAAAAGATGTGTTATAGTGTTTTCCTTTGAGGCAAAGACAAAGAAGACACTTTGCTGTTTGTTGTGCCAGAGAATCATCTCTGATTGTTTGTGTCACGGTGGCAGATAAGTGCAAAGGAGATAGATGTTCTGTCTCCGAGGCACAGTTCTCATCTGTATAGTATAAATTTATGCCTGCTGGTTGCAAGCCTCATGATTCAGAGCCGGTATATGACTGCGGTCGGAGCAGAGGAAAGCCAGTGCCTTCATGCTTGACGTTGATCTGCTTCATCCGTGCTGTCAGGCGGCTCCTGAGAAACGTCCCCTCTGCTCAGAGCCAGGCTGTGCCGGGCTGCTCGGCAGCTCCTGCTCCAACCCAACCCCACACACTGCAGCCATGTCCCCTTCCCCTCCCACACACTGCGCTTCCTTCGTCTTTCCAGTCCACAAACACAAAGACGTTTCTCTGCCCAAGCCAAGCACATCAATTCAAAGGAGGAAAACGCCTGGGACATGCTGGCAGCCTGCTGCCTTCTTTCCAGGCACCTGGCCACCATGTTTGTCTTCTCAGCAGCCATCTGCAGAGCATGAGATGCTCGGCCCGGATAGCAGAAACCACGTGTGATAGCTGCTGTTTGGCCCTTAAGTGTTCACTGGGGCACTATCAAGGTAAATATATCATCAAAATAATGATATTCAAACTGAGCTGAAAGAGCACCTTGGCCTCAGCACTCACCCATTCATTCAATGCCCCGTTAATTCAGTACGCCTTACAGTGAGCTCCGGCAGCTGCCCAAATCAGACTCGGAGAGTTCAATGAGGCCACGTAAGTTTTCTCATGTACCACTATAGAACTATTGCCAGTACACAGCAACGCTGTGACAATGAGCAAGGAACCCGTGTCTGGCAGTGCCAGATGGGACCCCAGCCCTCCAGTCCCCTGACCTGGTGCTGAGAGGAGCCCTGAGGACAAGTGCTTTGGAAGCAAAGCTGCAAGTATCTCTTGCTTGCCTCTCCGGAGCGGCGAGTTTGTTTGGCTGGGTTTGTTAACAGCCCCAATTTCCCCCAGCTGCTGACTGCTCGATGTCATGCTGCCCTGACATAAGACAAGCATCTCGGCCACCTCCTGCCGCCAGCTGTGCCCTGCTGGGACCTGCAGGAAATGAGCTCTGCTCCGGCAGCGGGCGCCCAGCCCCAGGGCTCCATTTCCCCCAGTGCTGATCAAGGGGCTTCCTTTTTTCCTTGGGTACCTCTGAAGTCAGGGACAGACAGAGCCAAAGACAGATGGGGGAGTTCAGCACAGGCCTGGTTTTTCACCACAAATCACCTTCACCAGGGAAGGTTTTATTGCAGGAATTCCGGGTTAATCCAACACGGGAGCAGCGGCATCACCAAGGCCAGGGAACTCTGCGTTTGCTCCCAGCAAACACCAGGCTGAGCCCCCGGGCGCCCATCGCTGCTGGGATCGGGGCAAGCAGCACCTGGGCAGCCCCCCCTTTGGGGTCAGTGGTGCTGCCGAAGCCCATTGCACGGCCCCAGCCCTCCCCTGTCGCCCACCATCGAGCTGCTCCGAGCGGAGGGGCCGGCTCCTGTGCCACGTACATTGTCTTAGGAGATTGATTTTTCACCTGTAAAAGTGATCTACACTCCCTCTCCTCTCCCGGATGCCTTAGTCAAAAGAGAAAATGGATCTTTTAAAGATACATGTATCCATCACTATTATTTACATTCTAATATGCGTACGCAGCTCTGCTCCAACAAGGGAAATGTAAATCAGATGGACATCGTTCCCTCAATGCCCTAAAGAGCTCCATTCCCCCAAATTAAAATAGAAAATGCTCTTTTAAAATGCACCTTTAATATGTAGGAGCTGCTGCATCCTGACTCTAAATAAACCAAACTTGAGCTACATGCCAAATATCTTAGATAAAGGACAGGTAAGATGGTAGTATCTGGCCAAGGAATCGGTCCTAAACAGCTATTTATATTAATGCAAAGAAGGTACAATGTTCTTCCTCTTGATATATGCTGCGGTGGGATATAGTTTTGTCCCACTAGTGAGAATAAAAACGTACAGTTCATGATAGGCAGAGTCACATGTGTGAGATAAAAAGCTCCAACTATAATATATGTCTTCACCATGTATTCTCTTCAGGATTTTCTTTAGATCTTTGGATGACAACAAGAAAACACTTACTCAAGGTTAGACACTGCTCTCCGGGCTTTTTAATAACCATTCCCCATATCCTGGGGGATTGCGTGTGCAAAATACGGCCGACAACTTCAGCAGGGCCTTGCAGAGGCAGGAGGAACCTCGCGCTCGCTGCTCTTTGTGTCGCTGGGGCTGTGCCACCGGCGGCAGGCGGTGCTGCTGCTGAGCACCACCAGCCCTGTGAGACGACCACGAAAAGCAGCAGCTGCGCTGCCCGTGGCGCCCGCAATAAAACCAAAACGTGGTGCGACGAGCAAAGGCTGTGCTCCTGCCTGCGGCTCTGCTCACAAAGCTGCGGCGCTCCCAGCAGAGCTCGGGGCGACCCACGGGGCTGAAGCAGCGCGGTGCTGGGAGGAGATGCTATCTGCCCCTGCCCGCCTGCTCCCCTGCTGCTGATACCAGCTCCCCGTGGAAGTGGGGAGAGATAAAGCAAGGCCACGGAGCTCAGCCTCCTGCGGGGCCGTGCTGGCGGCAGGTTCTGCTGCTGGGAATGGGCTCAGAGTCAGGATTTCACTGAACTGAAAATCGAGCAGTCTTTAATTGCTCTTAAATGGGGGCTACCGAGCTTCCCCGCTCTGCAGCTCAGACATCCCTTGACCACCTTGCTCCTCACTATTCTGCAAATGCTCCCCTTTTTTCTCTCTTGCTGACTGCTGATAAATGCACCTCCATACCCTGTCTAGGAGCCACAGCGTTACAATCTGCTCGGCGTGATATTTCTGCCTGCCCCCAAACAAAGCTTAATCAGGCAGTGGAGATGACGCATCCCAGGGATGGTATTCCTTCCGAATTGCTGCTTTCTGACACGTGCCATTGCCCTGCACTGACACACTGCACTTTGCAGCAAGACCTCAGCAGTGCGGGGTTTGGCAGCACCGAAGCAGAGGGCAGTGCTGGATGCTGGGATGACACAGGCAATGCTGGAGGCAGCGAGGCTGATTGAAGGAGGGTGCTTTGGCTTTGCAACCCAGAGCCCATCGTGGGGTGGGCAGCAGCACTCCTGCTCCCTTCCAGCAAGGAATAGGTGGCTCTGGATAACATGACATCCATCAGTGACCTTCTTGCACACGATGGGCTTTACAGCCGAGGGGGGCATCATAGCTCACAGCTTCCCCATGCTTACCCAAGGGATGAGCCAAGCTCACCTCTTTCATTGTGGCCTCTCTTTATTTTTATCATTAAACCTCCTCCATAGTTCTGTGGCATTAACCAATGGAGACAGGGGAACCACGAGCACAGCAGGGCAGGAGCGGAGCCACGCGAAGGGGCAGCTCAGCCTCTGCTTCCGCCACCAACAGCCCGGTGCATGGAACCAGGATCAGGCTAGAAATGGTCAGCTACCACATATATCCATCAGGAAATAACCCGGCCGTTAGGACGCGTGTCCGGCGATCATTGCGGCGACCCGTCAGCTGTAAACGACCTGAGATATTTGGGAAGAAAAAAAAAAAACAAAAAAAACCCAATTTGCTTCTACTATTTATTTCTTTCTTTCTCCCGTTCTTGACCCTGAGATCGCACAAATGTTTTTTCTGCACTTTCGCTGTGAAAGAGACACTCTCATCAAGGAGGAGTAAATCACAGTAACAGGGAAATAAACCTTCCCCTGCGATGATCCCGCTCCATTTATTTATTTAGCCGCCTGGCCTCGCAGCATCCCATGTGTGCGCACGCGCGGCTGCTGCCTGGGGTGGCCCATGGGGTGTGGGGCACGCGGAGCCGTTCCCCTTTAAATCCAACCCAGGTAATGAAACCGCGCAAGAAAATAGCGTGGGTGCATCTGGGAGCAGTAGAAAACAGTTAGATCTTCATAGAGCCATAAAGAAGTAAACAGTAGGCTGCTATGAAGATCTATGGGACCCCGCAGTGCCATTGTCTTCAAAAGGAATTAAAAACAAATTGCTGAGGGCCAGCACATAATTTAGAGACTCACGGCAATTTTATGACTTGCTAATGTTCCTAATTACATGCCCGTGAAAGGCTTAATTAATTGGGGGATGTAGCAAAAAGTGGAGCCTGTGTTTGTTATCATGGTTCCACTGCATTGATTTTAGTGCCTATGGAGAATTTAGGGCCTCTTTATTTGCACAAAGAAAATGCAAGTCTCTCGAAAAAATGCACATTAAGATCAACCCCTCGCTGCTATCTAATATACTTTCCTCTACTTAACCAAAGTGCTTGTAATCATATTTTGTAAATGTTGGTGCCGTTAATTGCATTGTGAGAGAAAATAGGTTCCGCTCGACTGGTCGTGGAGAATTTTATAAAGTTCTTCTCCTGCTCCCAATCCTGAGCGCTAGGAGGGAAACTCACCCCAAGTTGCTGCGGCGCGGGGCTGCCCTGCTCGTGCCGGCTGCACGCGGCCATGGGCAGCGAGGGGTCTGCGTGCGCCTCCCCCTGCATCCCCATAACATGCTGGAGAAAACACGGAGCACGGAGACCCTGCAGCACCACAGAGCAGCTTTGCTCGAGGCTGCAACAGGAGTCTGCGCTTGTTCCCACCACCAAACCCGAGCGCTGGGCTGCAGGGATGTGGAACTGCAGCGTGGGTCGGGCCCGTGCTCCCTGACGATCAGCAGTGGCATCGCAGGTCGTGGTGTGGGGTTTGGGTGATGGCAGCATGGCCCCTCAGTGCCTTCCCTCCGAGCGCTGCGCTGCTGTGCAGCAGTGCTGCAACCGGAGCAGCAAAAGCGGCGCTGAGTTCGTCTGCTGCTCTCGAGAGGAGGAGACGTCTCTCGAAATATAGTTGGCGCTTTGACGATAAGACCTTTGACAGGAACATGAATGACACGAATACTTTGATCTCTAGTCTCAGAAGCTTCAACAGCAATTATGAGTCAAGAGGGGTGAATATGGGCAGCAGCTACAGCAATGCCCCAGAGGGTGGTGAGGCAGTAATTAGAGACAAACCCCAGAGCATCTCTGCCTGCGCCGCGCACGAACCGGGAGGAGGTGGGCCGGGGGAAGGCTCTGCAGCAAACAACAGCCCTTATTCTTCTGAGAGACATAAAACCGACAGGACTTTATACATTTCAAAGCAAAACATCTTCAAAGACAGGTAAAATGCTAATTCTGCTAATGTAGGTTTTTATGTATATGCTCTGAAAAGGTAAAGCAAATTAATCACCGGCTTTACCCCTTAATATACATCTGTGTTACAAATATATTACAGCATGTCAGATCGTAGGAGATATATCTGAACAGCGGTGGTTAAAAGAGCATTTCCCTTTTCATGCTCTAATACAGTTATTTTGATCTTTCAGTCTTCATATTTTTTGTTCTCATCAAAGGAACGATGGTGCCAGAGATTAGGATGTTATTTATTTCCCTCTCGCTGTCCTACCCGTGTTAATCACTTCTCGTGTCAACAGCTCGGCGGTGCCGGCAGTGCCCACGCATCCTCCCCTGCTGCCCACCTGAGGGTCACCTCCAGATCCTGCCGACCTCCCGAGCTCATGGACAAACGATGCAAATGGAGGGCAGGGAGGGGAAGGAGATGCCTGGAGTGCGGGCATGGCAGCGGGGCTCAGCCTCCGCGACCGCAGCAGCAACAGAAACTGTTGGGAAAGAGAGGGGGAAGCGCTGCTGCAGCACGGTGAGGCCCGAAGGGAGCTGGGATGTGTGGGGCTGGGAGCTGGGGAGCACAACGGGTGCTGATGCAGCAGCACGAGACATCTGCCAGGCAGAGCAGAGCCCCTCGAGTCCCAACAGCCCCCAGCCCCAGGCACCCTGCAGGATTCAACTTCTGCACAGTTCATTCCTGGGCACTTTCCAGGTGCCTCCTACTGAATTCTCCTCACCCCCTGCATAGACCTTAACTATGGGGTAAGAAGAGCTGCTGCAAGTAACTGTCAACCCCAAATACAAAATGCTGCTTCAAATGACCGCGTGAGAATCCAGAGTTCACACACCAAGCCAGGCAGCCGCTCGCCACGCTGCAGCTAGCTGGAACAGATAGCGCTGAACTTGTGAAGATGGCTATTTGCAGGTATCCAGTAATTATCTGCAGAGATTAACCGAGCAGGTGTACTTCAGGCATAACTAATCCTTGAGAGACGAGGAGCAGGAAGGGCTGCGGGAGCTCATGTCTTTGAAACAGGTTACACCAGTGACATTGCCCACCATCAGCATTGTGTCCCTTGCCTTTAAAATGCTGACACTTACAGGTTTGATGGTAACTAGACTGCATAGGGGCACCTTTGCTTTCACATCAGATCTGCTGACATGAACAAGAGTCGATTCAGATGGGCATCCAAACATTAAAGTCCTTGCCTATTTCCATAAAATGATTGGCAGCATGCCTACTGCTAGCGGCTGGTAGCTCTGCTGATAAATGGCATCTTGATAAAAACTTTGGCCTGTTTTAAGGGGGAAAAAAAAAAAAAAAAAAAAAAAGGCATACTCTTATTCTAATTCACTCAGCATCTGACAGGTGAGACGTCTCATCTCTAAAAATTAGATCCATCTCATATCTCTGCTCTGCGTGCACGGGGAGAACAGAGTGGCCATGTGCCTCTTCCTCCCTCCTGCCTGGGAGCTGGGTGGCACAGCGGGATGCTGAGCAGAAAGGGCCTGAGATCTGCTGAAGATGGTCCAAAGGAAGAGAAAAAAGGGGTTCCTCTCCTGGCCTCGAGCTATAGAAACATTACAAGGAACCCTGCCTTGCCAGAGGAGCAGAAAGCCAGGTGAGCTCTGAGATGCAGGAACCTGACCCACAGAGCCACCCGAAATGTGAACAAACATGCAGTTCTCAAAAAGAAAAAAGGGACTCTGCAGATCATTGGCTGCTGATTCCCTGCTAATCCATCAGTAGATCAGTGGACAGAAAAGAGGGGGGGAAAAAGTTAATTTCAAGCCCAAATATCATTAGTTAGGTTTTGTACCTTCTTTAGGCACTCAATTCTACGTATTTTTTCTTAACTTAAGGTTTAAAAATGACTTCTAAAATGAATCTGAATGTTACAATGGGAATTTTTTACTCCCAGAGATAAAAAATCTCTTTGTCACACACTTCAAATCTTAGAGGAATTACACAAGCTGGGTGGCCCCAGCAATGCAGACAGCAAGCACAATGCAGACCCAGACCACACCTGACAACAGACGAGGGGCAGTGGACACCTCCACCCATGTATCTGCTGTTCTTTCATACAGATGTTGTGTTGTGGTGTAGAGGAAGAAGGAAGCTGTGTGTCTTTGTGCTCAGCAGGCAGGGATGGTGGCAGTGCCCCTTCTGTCCCCACCACATCTCGTGCCATGTGCAGGACAGCCGTCAGGACACAGCTTGGAGCAAGAGCCTGACAAAGAGTGAAGATGGGATGGCAGGGATTTCTGGAGGATCGCAATCCCCTGGATCTAGCAGGGTTTGGTGTTAAAATTCCTAAAGCAGCTTTGGAAATCTCAACGACAGCAAACAGAAACTGACGGCGCCGGACGGACGGACGGACCTCCCTCAGCCACCACGCCGCCACTTTGCATTGCCATATCAAAGTCACTCAATACCTTGTGATGCACCAAACGATAACAGACGGGTGCATGAGCACACACTGCAGCTGCTGGCTGAGCACGAGAACCACCCCAGTCCACCAGGACCCTAACGAGCCAGCAGCAGAGCTCACCCAAATCAACCCCGTGATTTACGGAGAGCTGCCCTCCCCTCCTTCCTGCTCCAGATGTGCCGCCAGCTGTGGTGACACCGCTGCCGAGATTGAGCTCAATAAATCTGCCTGCAACCACACGGCTGTCCCACACGGCGAGCATCCCGCAGCCCTCCTGGCAGCTCTGCACACAACAAAACAGGTCCTGCCAGGCTCACAGTGGCACAGCTCAGAGACCCGGCTCACCCTGGTGCCCTACAGAGCACAGCTGGGCATCGCTGATGGATGCACGAGTGCTGCTGGGCTCCTGAGCCAGCCCCGGCTCCCCGTGTGGTTGTCCACAAGCGCTGCCATACCCAACACAATTAGTGGTGACATCCCTACCTTGATTCCCGTCATGGTCTGCTGGAAGTCGCTTTGAGAGCCCGGGCTTCAAACCGGCTTCGCCATCATGTGATCTGACATCGTCGGGAATTTACTGTGGAAACAAAAAAACCCCACAAGTGTGAAATGTGACTGTCGATAAAGTAATCCTCAGCAATCAGACAAAATTAATTGTGTGAACATCATTGATCAAACCTACTTAATACATTGGGTTTGTAGAAAGCTGGAATGTAATTTCATTACCAATCTGCTCCATCCTAATGAAATTTCTAATAACACTCTAATTTTGATTTCGGTTAAGGAGAGAATGATGGAAATTTTCTTTTGCCTCTCTTGTAAGGGTTTACTTTATTGGTTTTCTGCAATAGTAGGGATACTAATTTTTTTTTTAATTTGACATTTTATTAGCAGGGGGTTTAATGTAACAACACGGATAAAAATAAAATTGCAAAACGGGCAAAACTTAAAGAAACAGAAGTGATGTTGAAATTAGAGAGGCTAATTCTAAAGAAATTGATTTATTTGATGAGTGGTGATTTGGGCTTTTTTTTTTTTTTTAAGTTTAGCCCATTTTCTGACCCACGGTGATTCGAGCAATACAGGTTTACTGCCCCTTTTGTCCACAGCTTGCACAGAACTGTGCCCACACAGCACATGGCTGCAACACACCGACATCCATAACAGGCAGATTAGGGCAAGAAGACACGGCCTGATCCAAGCAAGGCTCCCATTGATTGGGACATAACCAAGACTTCACCCCTTGTGTCAAGCTTCAAAAGGCACCATTCAGCCCTTCAGACTGAGCTCTGCTGGTGCAAAGAGGAAGGTCAGAGGTTAATCAAATCAGCAGTGAGGGAGCATCAGGTAGATAACAATGCTGAGGATTTGAGTCTTGCTGCATGTGTGGTGCCTGGCACAGCAGGAGCTGGGTGCCCAGGGCTGTGCCCCCGGACCACTGCACTCAGCGTGAGCCAAGAGACCACGAGCACATGACCATGCAACAGTGGGACTGCAGGGCACCCCTGGCACCTTTGTGGAGTGCTCAGAAGCTGTGATGGGCTCAGACACCGCAGCCTGCATCATTCTGCCTGTGCAATCGGAGCCTGCAGGCTTGTGAAAAACAGATTTTGCTAAGGGGCAGGGGAAAAGACCCGAAAAACCTAATACTTTGTTGCTCTTTCTGCTATCAAGTACTGAAAATGAACAGTGCTTGTCTCTGGCATGCATGAAAGGGCAAACCCTGCTCTCAGAGCAGCTGGGTACTACTGATGGCTCGTCTGGCAACACGGCCAGTGAATAGAAACCGCCTCTCCCCAGGCAGAAGGCACACACGGGGATCTGCATTTAAAAGCAGAGATGCACAGGATGCACACTGGCAGCCTGCAGACATCTGGGAGCTGCCAGGTGATGGGACGGGACGCGATGAGCAGACAAGGGAGCAGAGAGCGTGCCTGTTTGCTGCAGGAAGGTGATGCTCTTTGACTACTGAACTGGTGCCTATCTCTGGTATTTCCATTTTCAGCAATCTGATGTGTTTTGGTGATTTATTCATGACTGGTGTAGTGAAAAATTGGAAAAGGCTAGCGGGATAGCCATGGCCTGGAGATCCAGCATCAGATTGAGGCTACAACTGAATTACTGTCAGAGGCATCATGCAAGGTTCACTCCAGCGAATGCGAAGCTGAATCTTTATATTAATAACTGAGCACGAACGGCCAGAGACTGGCAGGTCTGCAGACGGGCAGGCCTATGAGGGGCTGTCAGTGCAGTGCAGGGCTGCTGTTTGCACACTGCCAGGTGCAGCTGGTGCCACTGTGGGACCACAGAATGGTGGCAGCAGGCACAGCCGAGTGCTGAGTTACTGCTGTGGAACCACACAGGGGAGCTTTGGCTTTTGCTCCACTCCTGAAGCAAACATTAAGAAGCCAGCCCTGCCCTCAGTGAGCCCAGCACAGGGCAGCAGCTGCAGTCCAATACAAACTCACCCCACACTAAAAGCCCCTCCAAACTGGAACTTTTGGGAAAGCAAAACAAAGCAGCTGTTGATCCAAAGGGGGGATAAAAAGCAAGGTGGAAGCGGAGGGGGAATGCCAAGTGCTGCATTACAGCAACATCTAGCCGCTCCTCATAATTACAGCTTCAATTCCACATCCAGTTTCCCTCCTAATTACTGCCCCGCAGTTGGCGCGCGCAGATTCGAGAGCAGCAGGGATTTTTGTTTTGCTTGCACTGATGATGCTCAGACTCCTCGTTCCCCAGCACACAGCTCCCCCTGCCCCGCGCTGTGTCCCAGCACTGCTCACCACCACACCGGAGCCCACAGTGGTGGTGGGAGGGCACGAGGACGGCTGTGAGCCCTGAGCTGCTGTGCCACTGCTGGACATGAGCTGACAGCCCACACAGCTGAGCTCCCGCAGCAAACATCCCCCCGAAATGAGGTGCTCCCGGGCAGTTCTGGGATGCTTTGCCAATCATTAACCCCATCACTGCCTGGAGCAAGGAGCCGGAAAGCAGCTTTCATTCACCAGAAGCACAGGAGAGCTGATTTCCTAATAATTTATGGCTTGAACGAAGTTGCGGAGAACAACCAAGTATGCAGGAAAGGTTGGGGTGAAAAATTATTTACAAAGTGAATGCCCCGAAGACACTTGTACTGGACAACAATTACAGCACCTTAATTAACTGAAATTTAGTCCACCCGTCGACTGAGGCATGTCCAGTGCTCAAGTTATGCCACTGCTGCTGTCTACCACTGGTTAATGAATATAAATCAGATGGTTTATAGTTAGTGAACATGTAATAGGCTTGCAATGAGTTGAATTCCAATGCAAAATGCCCGAGGATAGGAACATGCCATCCATAAAACATATATAAATAACAGATTTGCATTGCTATTCAGAAAAAAACAAAGCGATCCTCCCATCTTGGTGTCCTTCCAGCCCGACAGACCCGCACTCCAGCTCTCCAGCAAGACAAGGGGCCGATAGGTCGGAACTGAGGAGTGGTGACCCAAGGAGCAGCTAATCAGATGCCAAAATTCGTCTGTACCCCCCGTGTTTTCCTCCTGGCCATTGAGCCCTGCCTTATGGGCTCCTCGTGTGCTTGCTCCGTGCTTCTGGGAAGCTGAGCTCGGGGGCAGGAGAGCAGTGGAGGTGACTCCGGAGGCACAGAGCAGTTGCTGTCCCAATGAGAGCCACTGCGGGGGCACCTGAGGTTGGAATGGCAGTAAGAGCAGTGCCTGTGTCAGGAGCACTGCTCTCAGTTCTTTGCATTTCCTTGCTGCAGAAGCAAGAAATTGTGGGCCTTATTTATTGCACAAATTAGGTACAAGAAAATTATTTTCTTAATGCGAGACTTGATGAATGTTCTCAACTCTCCACCCTGCTAGGAAGAAGGGGTTACAATGAAAATTATTTACAAAGCATGTGCTACCCTGCAGGGATATTTATTCAGGCAGGGGATGTTTCTGCAGATTTTGTTGACAAAGGCAAATCAAATTACATTTTTGCAAACATTACAACAAGCATCTCGATTTGATATGGACATCAGCCGCCTCCCAGCACAGCCTGGGAAGCAGCCCCAGCCTGGCACTGCAGGCACCGAAACCACTGGTCATTTCTACTATTAGGGAACAGATGGGAAAATGCTCTGCAAGCTGTTCACACTTATCAATATTGATTTGAAGTTTTTATGCCTTTAAAAAGTACAAAAACTGCTATAAATACGGCACCCAGAGTAAGGAAGGTGAATGGTTACAGGGGTAGGAAGACCACAGCAGTGGGGCTTTGGGAGCACGCAGCACTGCCTGGCTGCACGACAGCTTCCCACCATGGGAGGAAGCAGCTCTGAGCTCCCCATGAACGGGAAAAATCACCTCCACAGCACATCGTGGATCCGCTATGGTTAAACCCACAGGTCTTTAACTTGGTCTTCCATCAGGTCTTCGAGAAGTCCCAACAGATTACAGCATCCCTCTGCTTAGCCATCATAATGACTTGTGGGCGATTAGCTTAACCAGCATTTCGCCCAATTCAATTTCCATGGATGGCCCATACGTACCACGAAAGACGTTCACATTAATTTTTACATAATTAAGTCAGGAATGACCCCAGTGCAGATGAAATAAAACCTCAGTTCTTCCCGGCCGATGCAGCGCTCACAGCCAGTGCCCCAGGATGGCGGGGCTGGGGGGCATGGTGAGGCTGGGGGCTGCAGCCCCAGGGGCACCTAAGGGGGGGGAGAAGGGCACCAGACCCACACTTTCTGCCCCCAAGTGCATCTTTTGGGGTGTGTGAGCCCCCTGGTGCTGCACCATTAGGAATACGGAGAGTAAAAGCCCAGTGCCAACCACGGGGACTCTGGTGCACTGCTGTGAGGTTCTCTGAGCCCCACGTCCCGACCCCATCACACTGCCCTGCACAAACCAGTGTGTGCAATTATCCTCCAAGCAGTCCCGTTTGAGGCAGCAGCAGTTAGTCACTTCTACTGTAATTTTAATTGGTGAGTGAACGCGATCTTCGTGGAGACAAAGCCTCATTCTTCTCTCCCTTGTAAGAGTTTAAATCAATACTAACCCGAGGCCGCGTGGAAATATTTAATGAAAACTGTTTTGACAGAAAATTGGATTTCTGATGGGACAAAACATTTGCTTTCAATGGAAGAGCCAAGACTCTGTAGAAAAGCCCAAACTTTTTCAATTTTTACCAAAAGGTCACAGCACAGAGCACAGCCATCAGCTTCGTGCATCCGCAGCAGCCAACACAGGGACAGCGTGGCAGCTCACATGGAACTGCATGGCTGAGACATGGCACGGGCTGCAGGGTCCGGGCCAGGGGGCTGAGGAACAGCGGTCCCAGCTGCAAATCACCCATCTGTGCCATGCACAGGGCACATGGTGCATCCTGAAGGGCAGAGCAGGAGCTGGTGCAACAGCACAGCATGCAGCCAGTGCGTACAGCACAGCAAACAGTGTGCTGGAGGGTTCTGCCTTGCATTCACCTTGAGGTGAAATTAGCGATGGCAAAAAAACCTTACTCAGGTCTTGGCTAATGATTATCCCATTAAAGAATCAGCTGACATAATATCATTTGGTAG